GAAAGACGGAGTTAAATTAAACCGGAGATCTGGTCCTCACTTTGTGGTAGATTTCTAGCACCGCTTAGGACCTGATACGTGGGGCACCCGGGGGCTCAGCGGTGGAGCCTCCTCCTTGGGCCCAGGGTGGGACCCCGGTCCGGGGATCGAGTCCCCCCATTGAGCTCCCTGCATGGAGCCCGATTCTCCCTCTGCCTGTGTCTCCGCCTCTCTCTCTGGGTCTCTCAGGAATCAATAAACAAAATCTTAAAAAAAAATACAAAAAAACAAAGAACTGATATGTGGTGTTTTCCTCTCCCCACTCCCACTGCTGCGTCCATGAGCAACATGTGTTTGTTTGACGGCAAAATACTAGCCCTGGAGACTGGTATTGACAGACTGACTGTATTTCATCTTTATTTAGTAACTCGATCTCCACAAGACCGGAAGGAATATGATTTCACTTGATACCAGGGTCACCTCAAATTTGAACAGCAAAGGTACTTGGGCATTTGTAATGACTTTGTGCCCCTTCAAGTGCATGACGGATTCTCACTTTTGCTTAAAGTTCATTAGGAGCGACGTGTCTCACTGCAGGCAGAAAAATATAATAATAGCGGAGGCCGCCCCCCTGGCAGGGTCATGGAGCAGCAGGCTCCCTCCTCTCTGCGCCTGGAGTGGGACGACCTGCCCTGGCTTCAACTGGCACCTGCTTCAGCACCAAGAACACGCAGACGCCCAGGGTGCTGATTAATTTATCTTTGCAATATTTGTTTTTTGTTACTATGCCCTGGAGCTGGAATGAACGGACATATGCGTTGATTTCTAGAAACTGTGAAATTCATGATAAGGTATCTTCTACTTACAAATATGGCTTCTTTCTTTGGTTTTTTAATTAACCCCATGGAAATATATCATTTCTTGTGTGGAAGAAATCTTGCGGTTTGGCAAAAGCAGAGCAAAAAGGCAATGTTTCAAATGGCCCAAAATGTTTTTCTGGACAAGTCAACAACTTCATATTCTTACCCATTGAAATTTAGAATCGTGTTTGATTTTCATGCTTTTAAAACATGTACTGTTGGGTAGCAGTAAATCACGATTCCTTAAAAATCACGAACTTGAAGTGTAACAAAAATCTGCCCATTATGAGCGTTCACAAAGTGATGAAGAAAACATTTTTGTTCCTTCCCCAATTTTGAATTTGAGATAATTTATACTTTATATCGTCTGTTTGGAGATGAATACAAAGACAAAACACGACCATTACAATGATAATTTAGTCAGTGCTTTGAATCGTCACCAAATCTAGCAAAATCATGATTCATGACATTGCTAACTACCTCTAAGAAAAGAGACATCTATCAAGCAGGGTGCAGAGGTTCCGGGAGTCAGGACTCCATTACACCTTTTGGATTCATTTCTTCCACATTTGTAAAAGAGCAAAATTCTATTTAAAGAGACCAAAAACCTCCTAAACTTTCAAACTTCACTGACAAGTAACTCCTTTGCTGGTAACTAATGCTTTCATCTATCACTGAAAAAATGGGACACCTTAGTTCTGATCTTGCACAAAAACTTGGTCTCAAACTAAAATTCTGAGAGTCTGAACAAAGGACGTCCTTGGGGAAGAGAGACTTGGGAATCGGGACTCGCATTCTGTGTTAAAATCGGTGGGAACTATTCAGAGTGTTCCTTGGTGTTTCATTCTGACCTCCCAAGCTGACCAAACCAGAAGCTGCAGGAGAGCCACTTCCTGAAGCCGGTCCTTGAGCCCCTGCTCACCCTCGCACAAGGCACTTTCCACAGAGGGAGCTGAGGACCAGCCGGTTTCCTCTGCAGCTCCCTGGGTGTCGGCCGCTCTTCTGAGAAGCATGAGTGAGTTTGCCGGCAGCCCCGACGTGGACTGGGACCAGCCGCCTCCCGTCGGCGGGGCCTGTCCTGCGAGTGAACACTCAGGGCAGCACAGACGGGCAGGTTGGCCGAGAAGGGGGATCTCAGCCTTTACCCTCTCCGGGGTGGGGGGGGGCGGTCGGAAGGCCTCCCCGAGGTCCCTCTTCATCAACCTTACCTGCCCCCCCTTCATCTCTAGAGCCCTGCTACCGTTGAGGGGACGCTCCTTGATGTCCAGAAGCCCCAACAGCCCCCCTAAATCAAAGTTCATTGGTAATTCGCCTCCTGGCAAGGAGCTGTCTGAGCGCTGCTTATTTCACAGAATTTCCCTCGGCCTCTGCCAGCCTCAGCGCAGCGCTTCAGGCCCCTCCAGCCTCCAGCAGACGGGGCCGCTGCTCCCCCTGCCTTGGGCCGCGCCGGCCCAGTGGATCAGGCCCACAAGCTCGCTCTCCTCTCATCCCTCCCTCCCTCTCCCTCCCTCGCTCCCTCCCTCCCTCTCCCTCTGTCCCTCTCTCCCTCCCTCTCCCTCCCTCTCTCCCCCCTCCCTCCGTCTCCCATCTCTCCCTCCCTCTCCCTCCTCTCTCCCCCTTCCCCTCCCTCTCTCCCTCCCTCTCCCTCCTCTCTCCCCCTTCCCCTCCCTCTCTCCCTCCCTCTCCCTCCTCTCCCCCCCCTCCGTCTCCCTCCCTCTCCCTCCCTCTCTCCCTCCCTCCCTCTCCTCTGTCCCTCTCTCCCTCCCTCTCCGTCCCTCTCTCCCTCCCTCTCTCCCTCCCTCTCCCTCCTCTCCCCCCTCCCTCCGTCTCCCTCCCTCTCTCCCTCCCTCCCTCTCCCTCTGTCCCTCTCTCCCTCCCTCTCCCTCCCTCTCTCCCTCCCTCCCTCTCCCTCTGTCCCTCTGTCCCTCCCTCTCCCTCCCTCTCCCTCCCTCTCTCCCCCCTCCCTCCGTCTCCCTCCCTCTCTGCCTCTCCCTCCTCTCTCCCCCTCCGTCTCCCTCCCTCTCTCCCTCCCTCTCCCTCCTCTCTCCCCCTCCCCCCTCCCTGTCTCCCTCCCTCTCCCTCCTCTCTCCCCCTTCCCCCTCCCTTCTCCCTCCCTCTCCCTCCTCTCTCCCCCTCCCCCCTCCCTGTCTCCCTCCCTCTCCCTCCTCTCTCCCCCCTCCCTCCCTCTCCCTCTCTCTCCCTCTCTCCCTCCCTCTCTCCCTCCCCCCTCCCCCTTTCTCCCCCCCTCCTCCCCCTCCCCCACCCCACCACGCGGACGGGCGTCGGGCTGCAGGGGTTTGGCTGGTTCCCTCCACCCTGTTCAACCTGCTTCTCACAGCGAGATCGCGTCCCTTGGAGGTGTTGACGAGTCACAGCGCGGGGGGGGGGGCGGGGGGGGGGGCAGTAAGTCCCGATCCTCCTGGAGACGAGGTCGGGCGAGGCCGAGGCCGACATCTGCCCTTTGGCACCACCGGGGCTCCCCGCGTTGCTCAGGGAACAGGCGCGCCCCGCGGGGACCCTCGAGAGCCCCCCCCCCCCCCGGACCTTCCCTGACCTGACCCGGGGCTGCGGACTCCCCGCCCGGGAGGTCGCGCCGCAGTCGGGGGGAGGCCGGGCGGGGGGGGGGGGGGGGGGGGGCACGAGGACCCCGACGTCGGCCTCGCAGCTCCGCTGGGGACCTGGGGGCGCGAGGGCCAGCGGAGGGGAGGGGGCGGGGTCGAGGTCGGGGTCGGGGCGCGGGGACGGGGCGGGGGGGTCGGGGCGCGGGGACGGGGGCGGGGGGCGCTGGGGCTGCGCCGCGAGTCCGTCTGGCAGCTTCTACTGAGCAGCTAATAGTGTAACAGCCCGGCTTTGATGAATCTGAACTAATTACCCCTCTTAATTAAAGTCTTTAGCGGTTGTTTCACTGTTTTGGCAAGAAAACAGGAGAGACCTGCAGGCAGCAGCAGCGAGCGGCGGCGAGGGGAGCAGCGGTTAGCACTCGAGGCCCCGCGGCCCCGCTCGGCCTCCACCCGCCGGCCTGGGAGCACGGGGGGGGGGAGGGGGGCACCGGGTCGGGGGGAGCACCGGGTCGGGGGCGGGCGCAGGGCCACCAGGAGCACCGGCCGGGAAGCATCAGGCCGAGGGGAGCACCGGGCCTGGGGAGCACCAGGTCGCGGGGGCACAGGGCCTCGGGCAGCACCGAGCCGAGGGGAGCACGAGGTCGAGGGGAGCACTGGGCCACAGCGACTCACCCCTAGACAGTGGCCGCGGCGCAGCACCTGCTGCACCGGAGACCAGCCACGGCTCCACAGCTCCTGTCTCTGCACTTTGGCAAAGTCATAGCGGCTTAAAGAGACTATCAGTTGTTCTCCGCGAATCTTTCAGGTGGGACAGGAGGCGGTATTGACCGAGGGTGGAACTTGTAAGGACTACGGAGGGATGGGGGAGCCAGACCCCGATCTAGCCGAATACGAAGATCCCCGAAGCTTGTTGATTAAATAAGCGTGTTCCAAGTATTTATTTCCAAGTCAATGAATCAATTTTCACGTGCAAGAATCAAAACCAAAATTCAAATTCATCCATATCGAACCCCCTTTCCCTAGTGTGTACGTGTGTGTATGCACTCACGAACGCGGAACGTGCCTTTGCAGGCACACACACCTATGCGTGTATATATAACATACACACCGTGTCTCGTTACCTCAGGGAAAGAGGAAATGATCATAAACGATCGGCAGGCATCTGGAGACGGCGGGTAACACAATGGAAATATATACAACAATAAAATTAAAATGGTGCAGCATTCCCGGGTAGGATAATACAGATCTCAATAAATACAGTAGAATTTTGTTTTTAAAAAACAAAACAAAACAAACAGCATCTCTCCACCAGAGATGAAGTCTTTCCAAATCAAAAAAGAAAAATCAGAAACAAAACCCCGAATTTTCTCATGATTGTGAGTGCCTCTATAGGATATAATACACAAAACCATGTAGCAGGTGCATGCAAGAGGGGAAAGGCCGGGAAATGCAGAGGCTTCCCGTCTGGGCTGGGCGCTACCCCGTGGGGCCCAACACGCCCTGGGGCCTGCAGACGCAGGTGGGGTCTGCAGGACCGGCTCTATCCCGATGCCTCCGTAGTGGGGACCCCAAAGGGGCTGGGAAGGGACTTTGGCCTTGATCACTGATGGGCCGGGTGGAGGCCGGGCTGCAGGGGCCCAGGGGGCGGCAGCGGCGGCAGCGGCGGCGGCAGGGTCGCGGGCGGCATCTGCTGCAGAGGGGGCGACGGGTTGGCGCCGGGCTCCCCGGCTGAGGCGCGGGCCAGCCCCAGGCTGCTGTCGTGCAGCTTGCGGACGTGCTTCTTGAGGTCAAAGTTCCTGCAGAAGCCCTTGCCACACGTGGGGCAGGTGAAGGGCTTCTTGTCGTTGTGAGTGTGCATGTGGAAGGTGAGGTTGTAAACCTGGTGGAAGGCCTTGTTGCAGATATTGCACTTGAACTGCTTCTCCCCGCTGTGGGTCAGCTTGTGGTTTTTGTAATTCCCTGCAACACAGAGGACAGGGCGGACGTGGGAGAAGAGCTGGAGAAGAGAGGAGCCGAGGGCGGGACGGCAGGGAGGAGCTGCTGCGGGCGCCGCCGGGTGCCGCGCCGGGCTGGCCGCTGGCCGCAGCCCAGGCCGCTCCCCGCGCTCTAACACAGGTTCTTAACCCAGCTTTCCAAAGGGAGAGCCGGCGCGAGGGGGTCCCCCTCCGGGTCTCCACCGCGCCTCTCTGACCCTACTCAGGGCAACCGGGCAGGAGCCTGCACGGCGACACGCGCGCCAGTAACTAGCTGCACCTCAGAAAACCGTTTTCTAAAATATCTGGAAAAGACTAGAACTTTCGTGGAAGCAGGGCCTCCTGGGTTCTATACCTTTTTGATGAAATCCTTTGCCACAGAATTCACACACAAACGGTTTGTAGCCTGCGTGTATTCGGGTATGTGTGTTTAAAGTGGAACTTCTGTTAAATGCTTTGCCGCACTGGTTACATTTGTGAGGTTTTTCCTAAGAGGGAGGGAAGAAAAGCGGGGCGGGTATAAGGTATTTTGTTATTAAGTGGGATCCTGCAAACTCACAGTCATGCGGTCTCTCATGCGTTTAAGCAGAACAAAGGCAAAACCCCGGCGTCTCCCCCATGCAGCTAGCACATTCTAGACCTCAGCCGAACGAAGAGTGAGAGTTTGAGAGTCTGGCCGCTGTCTTTCTACAAACCGTTTGGAAGGAAGCGGGGTGAAGCTGAGACAGACGAACACACCTGGGTGTGAATGATCTTGTGCCTGCACAGGGTGCTGGCCTGCCGGAAGCCCTTTCCACACACTTTGCAAACGAAGGGTCTGGCTCCTGTGTGCACGGGCATGTGACGGGTTAAGTTATAGTGTGCGTTAAAGACCTTAAAGTTAAAGACAAGGAGAACAGTCAGCCCGACAAGCACTTTGAAACCAAACCGGGCGCGGGGTGCAGGGGGGGCACGTCAGGAAGTGACCTTGTGCAAATGTATATAAACAATAAGAAAATAAAATGAAATTTGAAAGGAGGGACGGAGGGAAGGCAGGAAGGAGGGAAGGAAGGAAGGAAGGAAGGAAGGAAGGAAGGAAGGAAGGAAGGAAAGGAAGGAAGGAAGGAAAAGGAAGGAAAGAGAGAAGAGAGGAAGGGAAGAGAGGAGGGAAAGAAGGAAAGAGGCAGGGAAGGAGGGAAAAGGAAGGAGGGAAGGGAAGAAGGAAGGAGAGAAAAGGAAGGAAGGAGAGAGAAGGGAGGAAAGAGGGAAGAGAAAGGAAGGAGTGAAGAAAGGAGGGAAGGAAGGGAAGAGGGGAGAAAGGAGGGAAGGAGGGTAGGGAAGACGGAAGGAAGGAGGGGAAAGGAAGGAAGGAGAGAAGGGAGGAAGCGAAGAGAAGAGGGAAAGAAGGAAAGAGGCAGGGAAGGAGGGAAAGGAAGAAGGAAGGAAGGAAGGAGGGAAAAGGAAGGAGAGAAGGGAAGAGGGGAAGGAAGGGAAGAGGGGAGAAAGGAGGGTAGGGAAGAAGGAAGGAAGGAGGGAAAAGGAAGGAGGGAAGGGAAGAAGGAAGGAGAGAAAAGGAAGGAAGGAGAGAGAAGGGAGGAAAGAGGGAAGAGAGGAAGGAAGGAGTGAAGAAAGGAGGGAAGGAAGGGAAGAGGGGAGAAAGGAGGGAAGGAGGGTAGGGAGGAAGGAAGGAAGGAAGGAAGGAGGGGAAAGGAAGGGAGGAGAGAAGGGAGGAAGGAGGGATGGAAGGAAGGAAGGAAGGAAAGGAAGGGAGGAAAGGGGGGGGGAAGGCACGAGAAGGCAGGCGGGAGGGAAGAGAGGAGCCAAGGGGGGAAGGCGGGAGGGACGGGGCCTCCCGTGCTACTTGCCTTGCCGCACACTTCGCACGTGAAAACTTTGGGCTTGGCGTGGGGGGAGCCGCGGCCGAAGTCGGCGGCCTTGAAGGCGAGCTTCTCCGACAGCAGCTGCGCGCTCTCCTTCACGTAGTGCTGCAGCTGGGCCTGCGACAAGTCCTTGAAGGCCACCGCCGCGGGGCCGCCCAGCTTGTTCCTCTCGGCCAGGTAGGTCTTGGGCGCGGCGTGCAGCGGGGAGCCGAGGAAGTAGGAGGCCACCGGGTGGATGTTGAGGCCGGCGGCCGGCGGGCACGGGCCGTCGCCGCGGTTCAGGTAGCACAGCGCGCCCATGGCGTGGAAGGACGAGTGGTTGACCACGCGCGGCCGCACCAGCCTGTAGGGCGGCAGCGGCAGCGCGTCGCGGGCCAGGTCGCCCTTGAGGCTCAGCGCGCAGTGCAGCAGGTCGCCGCAGCGGAGCGCGGGGGGCGCGGCGGGCGCGGCGGGCGCGGGGGGCGCGGGGGGCGCGGCGGGCGCGGCGGGGGCCTCGGGGCCGGCCTTGCGCGGCTCGGGGCCGCCGGGCGCGCCCTTGGGGCCCGCGTCGTAGGCCGCGGGCACGAAGGGGATCATGCAGGGCACGGGCGGGCCGAGCTGCAGCGGCGGCTTGGCGTCCGGCTTGGGCGCCGCGGCGGGCAGCAGGGGCGGCGCGGGCAGGGCCCGGGGCTCGGGCGTGCGCGCCATGATGCGCTCGATGGAGAAGGCCAGCGGCTTGGCGGCGCCCGCGGGGCCCGTGCGCATCCCCGCGGCCGCGTCGGGCCGGCTGCCGTCCATGGCGGGGCCGGGCGGGCGGGGGCCGCGCTGCGCCTCGGCGGGCGTCACGGAGCCGCACCCGCCGCACCCGCCGCGCCTGCCGCCCGCCGCCGCCGCCCGGGCCCCGGCCCCGGCCCCGCGGGCTCCCGCCGGCCCATCGCGGGGCGCCCTGCGCTCGGAGCCCGACGGCAGCCGCCGCTCCGCGCCGACCGGGCTGCGCTGCAGAGGCGGCCGGGACCGCGCCGACCGCCGGCTCCCGAGCGCGCGACGAGCACTAGCGCGTCGCAGGTTCGCCCCGACAGTCGCCGCCAAAACTTTTTTTCTTCCTCCGCGGCCGCCGAGCACTTTCCATTGGCGGGCGAGCTTCCTCCGCCCCCAAGAGGCGGGGGCGCCCCGGCGCGCGGCACGCCCCGCCCCCCCCCGCCCCGCCCCCTGCCCCGCCCCCCCCCCGCCCCCCGCGCCCCGCCGCCCCCCGCCCCCCGCCCCGCGCCCGTCCCTCCGTCCCTTTAACTCTCCATCCGCCTCACCCGGCTTTAAAGGCCACAAGCAAACCCGAGATCAGTTTTCTCCCTCAGCTCCCGGTGACGTCGGCCGCCATCACCGCGTCCCCGCGGAAGGAGGGCGCGGAGCCCGGCGCGGGCGGCCACGGACGCAGGCGCGGCCCCTCCACGGCCGTCGAGGGACGCGCGGGAGGTAACGGGCCCCGCACGCGCTCCGCCGCGCCCTGCTCCCCGGCCCCGGCCCCCCCCCCCCCGCCCCGACGCCCCGCCGGGAGCCCGCGCGCACGTGCCGCCTGCGGGCCCGCGAGGCCGGGGGACCGGGCGCCCAGGGCCGCCAGCTCCGGGCCGCATCCTTGGGCGGGGGACGCGGCGGGGGACGCGGCCGGGGAGGCCCGGGATGGGGGCGCCAGGCAGGGCCGCAGCGGGAGGCTGGACCCGGACCCGGAGGTCAGCCTCGGAGTCGCCGCGCCCCTGCTGGGCCCGGGCTCCCGGGGGCTGGGGGGCTCCCGGGGGCGGGGGGCGGGGGGTGCCCGGGCCGGGCCGGGAGTCCCCGTGGAAGTCAGGGCCGCGGGAGGGCTGCGCGGGGCGGGCCCCGGGGGCCTTGGGGTGGCCTGGGGGGGCCGGCCTGGGGGAGGGGGCTGGGGGGGCCTGGAGGACCTCAGGTGGGCTCGTGGCGCCTCGGGGTGGCCTGGGGTGGGTTGGGGTGGCCTAGGGGGGGACCCTGGCCGGCGGGTGTCGGCCGCGGGTGGTGACCCAGGGCGCCCCCACGCGGGACGTTTCCCTTCCTTCTGCTGTCGGGGCCCCAGGTCCGCCCCCACCCCCAGTCTCTCCTGCTCAGACAAAGAGCGTGGACGCTGGGGGGGGGGCGGCGCCCCGCGGCAGATGGGTCCCCTAAGACTGTAATTGCGGCCTTCGGGGCAGGTCGGATTTCCCGCCCAGGGCAGGAGCCCCGCCGTGGTTTCAGGTTCGCACCCCCCCCCCCCCCCAGCGGAGGCCTCCTTGGTGGACCTGGCCAAGGGCCACGGTGCTCCGCGCCGGCAATAGCTCCGCTGCGTGCCCTTCACTGGCCTTCTCCGGCTTTGCCTTTTTGACAAGTGTTTGAAAGTACGTGTCATTTGAGTAACACAAATATGGCAAAGTAGCAATTAGGCCCCTCTTCTAAAACGTCAGACCTGAGCCTGCTAATCCTAAAGACTGAAGAGGCGCTTTCTTATAAATCAAGGTCTCGATATTCCAACATTTGTTGATGAGTATTTTCTGTTCGAACCCTAACCTCACACTATTAATTGAAGATAAAAGTCTGTATTAAGTAAGGGTTACCCCCAAACAAGTCGCGAAATATATTTAGGAAGGGCTTCCATCGTATTGTCAAATCTGTCCAGTACTTTGTGTTTTTTCCCCCAAACACGTTTGAAAGGTAGCAACCACCACAAAAGCCCACCAAGGGAAGCAGAGTATATCTGGCAAATCTGGAAGCTTCTGACACTGCTCAGCACCTTAAAGTCGTTTATTAAGAGAATGCAGACGGGCCTTGCTCATTTTGTTAATGGCAAACTAGAAACTCCGTTATGGCTTCTCTGGATTCTCTTGCAGAATCCTATAATCCCCTCTTTTTGGACGCCCCGAGGAAAGCGCAGCAGCCCTCGATGTGAAGAGACGGGCTCGCCCGCCGCTGAGCGAGCACCTCCTGAGAAAATAGGAGGAAGTTCGACTCCTCTGAAATTATTCAAAGTCCTCATTTCTTTGCCTACAGAACCTATTTTTTTTTTTCTATTTCGGTGCTTCTTAAACCGCGTTCTTGATTGCTCCAGAACCTGCATGGTTTTCACAGGCTTTTTATTTCCGTCCCCATCGCCAGCAGATGCAGGGTTTGGGTCAAGACTGCTGCCCTCTGAAATAAAAGGCAGTAGGATGGAGCCATCGGCTACCAAGTAATCCACAATCTTTCATCTCTTTTTCCTTAATAAGCCAGAAAATGCTGAAGTTTTATTTTATTTATTATTATTATTTTTTAATCCTGAAATTTTAAAGAATAAAAAGGTGGATGGCAAAATATTATAACTTAAGTGAACTTCTGCCAAGCGCATTCATTTATCTCTGGTTGTTTTTAGGATCTTCGGGCCTCTCCAACATCGCGACCCTTGCCTCTTCATCAGAAAATAGCAGTGCAAGTTCGTTCCCTTTGCTTCCTGGTAGCCGCAGGGGCTGCATGGGAGGAGAAGGTGGTGGTTCTGAGCGGGGGTCCCCCCCTCCCCAGGTGCTCTGCGCCCACACTTCCTCCTGTTTAATAAATAGCGACCTACCTTCCTCCTACAGGAGGAAAAAACATTCCTAAATTCTTGTACAGTTTTGCTCAGTCTTTATGTCTGGTCTTTTGTTATTTCTGGTGGCATGTGAGGGAGGCGGGGTTGGAGTGGGCCCCCACCGGCGGGTCTGCAGGGCCCAGGAAGGAGCCTCTCGAGCCCCTCGGGTTAGGCAGTGAAGACACAGGCGAACCCAGCACCTCAGTACTCCCTGGGGCGACAGTTCTGAGGCTGCTAGCGGGCTTTCAGTTCGGAGCAAACTTTTTGCTAATTTTGCAGACCCAGTGGGGCGGCGTCCCGGGCTAGGTGTGTGTGGGGGGGTCGCTCTGCGCCTTGAGCCCCCCTTTCCTGGGGGGAGGTTCCTTGTTTGCCTTTAGCCCTCCGTGGTCACCACTATTTCTTTCTTATCAGGGCTCCGCGGCAGCCGAGTGAGGCTACGGTTCTCAGAACAGTATTTTCGTGTTAGATCGGCGCCAGAGCGTGGCTGGGGAGCCCCAGGGCAGCTGTCCGGTGCAGGCCGCGCCTCTGCTTCCCACCGCCCTGACGCTGGCCTGTGAGCTGCGCCCCCTGCACCTGCACCTGCACCCCCTGCACCTGCACCTCCTGCAGCCTGCACTGCCTGCAGCCGGCACCCCCTGCAGCCGGCACCCCCTGCACCCCGAGCGCCCTGCAGCCTGCGCCCCCTGCACCCCCTGCAGCCTGCGCCCCCTGCAGCCTGCGCCCCCTGCACCTGCACCCGGACCTGGTGGCGGAGGAGCTGCGCCTCCAGCGACCCCATGTCTCCGGCTCGCTCAGGAGCCGCCTGAAGTGAAGCCGCCGAAGCCGAGCGGCCCGCTGAGGCCGAGGGGCAGGCGGGGAGGCCACCGCGCCCCGCGCCCGCGCCCTCCCACGTCTCCGCCGCCGTCCCCAGGTGATGTTTGAGCCCTTTCGCGGTCAGAATAAAAACTACGTTCAACCCGGCGCAGTTCTTTCCTTGACACACCCGAGAAGGTTAGAGCGGGTCTGGCGTTCCGTCCGCCCGTCCGTCCGTCCGTCCTCACCTCCCGGGAAACTGGACGAGAAGCGCCGCCGCGTGGGGCGGAGGGTGAGGCCGGAGAGACGCGGCCGCGGGGGAGGTGCTGGGGGCGGGCGCGGGGGTGCACCTGCCGCCCCCGAGCCTCCCCCCCAGCCCCCCCCCCCCGCAGGCGGCGGCCCGAGCCCGAGGGCAGCAAGCGCACCTGTCGGCCGGGGCGACCCGGGTCTGCGACGCTGGCCCCGCGGGGCGGGTGAGTCGGCGAGGGCCCCGGGGCGGGGCGGGGCGGGGGCGCCACTGCGGCCGGTCCCTGCACCCCCAGGCCCCCCGCCCCGCGGCGCTGCGCCCCTCCCTCGCTCCCGGGCCGGCCGGGTCGCCGGGGCTGCGGCGGGCGGGCTTAGAGACCCCGCGCAGGTGGCGGGGCCGGGGGGGGGGGGGGGGGGGAGGGGGCGGCGGGAGCGGCGGGCGCTGCGCGGCGACCTCGGCCCCGAGCGGCTCCCCGGGCTGTGGCGGGACCGTCCCCGTCCCCGTCCCGGTCCCCGTCCCCGGACCCCGGCGGCGCAGTCCTCCCCGCGGCCCCGAGCGCAGCGCATCCCGGGCCCCGGCCGACCGCTCCTCCGGGGGTGGGGGACCGTCCCGGAGCCCAGCCCGAGGGACCTCCCTGGGGTCGCCCGTGGGTCCTCCACGGAATCCCGCGGCGTGCGGGGCGCTGGGTGACCAGCTCGGCCCCGTGTGAACCAATCCGGAGTCCCCGACGCCCCGGCCCCAGCGCAGTGACCTGCCCGCCTCTCGCTGCCCGCGGGCCCGCCCCCCGCGCCCCCCCCCCAGGCCTCCGGGCCCAGGAGGCTTCTGCAAGAGGGTGGAGGAGGGGAGCGGGGCGCAGCAGGGCTGGGGGGCCGGGGACACCTGCGGACCTGGGGGAGGGCGGAGCCGCGACCACCTGGGGACTTGGAGGGGGCTGGGGCCCGCGACCACCTGGGGACCTGGGGGAGCCCGGAGTCCACGGCCACCTGGAGACTTGGGAACCTGGGGGGCCCGGGCCGTGGCGGGACAGGAGCGGGTGCGGGGAAGGGGGCGAGGCCGTGCATCCGTGCAAGACTGCGTGGGGTCGGTCCCCGCGGGGGTCCCCTCCACCGCCTCACCCTGCGGGCACAGCTTCCCCTGAATGTACAAGCTCCGGGGCGGATGGACACCCCAAGCGCAGGGCCCTGTTCGCGCCCTGGGTCCGGACGTCCCGGTGCGGGCGCAGCGGCGGGGTCCAGACAACACCTGCACCTTCACGCGCTGTTGGGGGGCGGGGGCCCTCGGCGGCCTGGCCTGGCTCTCAGGGGTCCAGCAGCCTGTGCTGCCTCGAGGCCGCGGTCCCCCCGCCCCGCGCCCCCCGCGCCCCGAGCAGCAGAACGTGGCCCTGGGACACCCCAGCGCGGCCCCGCGGCCCGGCTCCCACCTGCGGGCTCGGCGGCCGCCCTCCCCTCCCCTCCCCTCCCCTCTCCCCTCCCCTCCCCTCCAGGACCTCGGTCTCGTCCCTTCCTCCTGTTCGGCCTCCTCCGACCGCCCGCGGGCCTGGCTCCGACGTGGGGCGGCCGCGGGGACTGGAAGTGGGAACCGGGAAGGCCGGCTCCCCCTCCGCCGCCTGCTGCTCTTACCGTTATTCCCGCTTTCTCTGCAAAAACACTGGCCACTTTCTAGAACTTGCGACCCATCCCATCAGCAGTGTGCAGTCGTGCTTGAATTTCTAGGGCTTTTAATTAGACTGAAGAGGGGAAAGCCTCCCCTTTTGCAAGTGCGCAGTGAGGTCGACCCCACTTGCCCCCCGATTTCTGCCCCATAAAAGGTGAATTGTAATCCCCTTTGCTCCTCCAGGTCCCTTCCTGTCCTTTAAAGCTGGATTCTTCAATTGTCCGTTGAAGTGGAGAACCACCTTCCCCCGTTGGAAGGAAGCTCCCCGTGAGCACTTTTGTCACCCGCCTGCCCAGACACTTGGCAGCTGCAATAAGTGACCGGTTTCCTGCCCCGCGTGGGCCTCCTCACCCAGGGTGCCCGGGGCTGGGGAAGGCCACACAGCTTGCCTGCCGCCCGCCGCCTCCTGAACCAGAAAGGCCGGTGGCAGCTCCCTTTGCCTTGAATTGTTTTTCTGTGAAATGGGACTAAATCAAAGCGCACTTCATTCTCGGGAGGCTTGAGAGTTTGAAAAGAGACGTTAAAATAAACCACTTTACATATGAAAAGCTATCCCACATCTTGTTAAGAAGTTAGGCTACAAACTTTTCCACAATATTTTCCAGACAACTGTATTTAAAAGACAACCCTTCTGCTCAGTGATTCAGCGTCTGGCTAAGTACGCCGACGTGTTAAAATACACACGGAATCGCGTTTGCTAAATTATTTTTCACAACCGTGAGGCTTGTCCTTATCCTTGGGGGCCTGCTCTCCCACATTCAGTCTTGAGGTCTCCAGGGGACACTTTCTTCCGTAGAATGACGAATTAACCTTTCACAAAAGCTTTTCAAAAATCCCAGTTTGATGAAGGCAGATTTCGCCTCTTTAGAAGCAGTTACGCGTCTCTAAAATTAATCATTCTGCTGATAGACTGTCCTAATTACAGGAAGGCACACACCTAGCAGTCCCACAATGTAACAGCAAAGCCGGGCAGTTTCCATGAGTGACAGCGAATGAGGTTGTGCAACACGGCGACTTGGAAGCGTGTTTTATAAAATTATTACCGGGCTGTGGCCGTGGGGAGGACCCCACAAAGCTCTCTCCGGCCAGAGTCCGCCTTTCCATGTTTCCCTTCCCACTTTTTGCAACACGGCCCTGTTGGGTTCTGACCTTCCACTGTGTGACCCTTTCACCAACATCTTCCAAAGTTACAATCAGTTCTGCTTCCTGGGCATTTTAGGGAAATGCCCTAAGCAACAAATTTCAGCATTTACGCGATTTTTTTCTTTCTTTCTTTCCTGCCAATCACACCCAAGAGAGGTGTTACTTGTTGGGTGTCAGCAAGGAGGTAGTGTTAAAAGGCAAAGTAGAATTGATTTAGAGGAGACAAGGAAGCAATTGGACGCACCGCTTGTGATTTTTGCAAAGGCGCACGCGGCGCGCGAGCCCCAGGGGCCAGCGGGGGCGGGGCCCAGGGCAGGGGCGGCCCGCGGGGGCTCCAGGGCTCCGCGCTCCAAGTAGCCCCGCGACCTCCGGGACCGGGACGCGAGCCGCTGGCGCTTCTCCGGGGGTGGGGGTGGGGGTGGGGGTGGAAACCACTCGGGTCCCCCCGGGGTCCTTTAGTGGCTGAGTTTTAAAGTCACCCGCAAAGAGGCACGGAGTCGCCTCCACTCGGAATGCGCGGGTGACGGGGGTGAGCTGCCGGGCCCTGCGCGGGCGCCTGCGCGGGGCGGCGGGAGCCTCGGCGCTCCCCTCCCCTCCCCCCTCCTCCCCTCCCCTGCCCTCCCCTCCCCCTCCCGGGGTGCCCAGCCCCTGGCACCCTGCTCGGGGCTCCCCGCCTCTTCCCGCTGGGGTCGCGCCCCCTCCCCGCCCCCCCCCCCAGGCCCGGGGTGCGGGGCCTCGACTTCCCCGCCCGCCCCGGTGAGCGCCCGACGTGCGGCCCGCGGACGCGCGCGACCCCTGGGTGTTCCTCCGGGTCGGGGTCCCCTGCCCTCGGGGGCGCACCCCGCTGCCCCCCCCGTGCGCCGCCCCAGGCCGCACCCCGCCCCCGTGACCCCCGGACCCGGTCAGCGCCCGCCCGCCCGTCTGTCCGTCCGTCTGTCCGTCCCGCTGCCCCGCCGAGGCCTGCACCGGCTCCTCCCCGCCCCGCCCCGCCCCGCCGCGAGCCCGGCCCGGCCATCCGGAGCACAGCTCGAGGAGGAGACGGGGGGAGGGGGACCTGGGTGCTCGCGGGGGTGGGGGTGGGGGCACGGCAGGGCTCGGGGGCGGCCCGAGGGACCCCCCACCCCGCGCACCTCCCAGGAGCTCACGGAGCGGTTTTGGCGGGGTGGGGGGTGGGATGGGGGATGGGGTGCTGGTGGGGGGGTTGGATGGGGGATGGGGTGCTGGTGGGGGGGTTGGATGGGGGATGGGGCAGGGGGTGGCGGGATGTGGGATGGTGCGGATGGGGGGGAGCCCCGAGACACTTGGCTCCTGCGTTCGCTGCGGAAGGAGCAGCAGATCTGCGGAGCGAGGCCGAGGAGCAAGAACTGGGGCAACTGAGTGGAAAACTGGGCGAACAGCAGGACGCGCCTGGCGGGAGGGGTTCGGCGCGGCCGGTTCCCCCGTTTCCGGGAAGGGACTTTGTTATTTTTCTCCTTGTGTTTGGAGAAACTTCCAGGTGTGATAAGGGCCCTGCTGCGCGGGTGTGAGGCCCTAGACCGCCCGGGAATGCCTTGGGGGGGGGGGCAGAACCGGTTAGGAGGGGGCCTCCCGGGTTAGGAGGGGGAGTTACTTCTGCTGAGTTAAAAATGATTCTCGTTAAAAAAAAAAAAAAAAAAAACTTGTAAGATTTGTTAGGCTTTCAGTGAAATCCCCTTAAATGAGATAATGCTTAAGAAATAACGCTCGGCCTCCTTTAATAGACAGAAGCTTGGGCGTTCACCCCGACGCTCACACACGCCAGTGAACAATTATGAAGTCATTTCAAGCAATTTGCAGTCATGTTGAAGAGAACTTCTGGGCAAAAACCCAAAAATGACTTTTCATTCTTTTCAGTTTTCTTTTTCAAAGATTTTATTTATTCATGTGTCTGAGAGAGAGAGAGAGAGAGGCAGAGGCAGAAGCAGGCTCCACGCAGGGAGCCCCACGCAGGGAGCCCCACGCAGGGAGCCCCACGCAGGGAGCCCCGGGCGGGACTCGATCCCGGGACCAGGACCACACCCCGGGCTGAAGGCGGCGCCGAGCCCCCCCTTCCCCGGCCCCGTCGTTTGTTTCTTCGTGCGTCGCTCTCCGTGCACCTTCACGCGGCTCAGGGCGTGGCCCGCGGCCTCGTCTGGACCTGGGAGCATCGCAGTCCCCACGTCTGGCCCTGTCCTCCGCCTGGAAGCCACTGGAGCTTGGACTCGGGGACGGGGCTTCTGGAAGCGCCTGGGTACAGCAGGGAAGGCGCAGAGAGCCGTCGGGTGTGGGGGAGGCCGGCGGTGAGGGCGCTGGGCCCCAGCTGCTCCGGGCCGCCCGGCTTAGCCAGCGTTTCCTTGGGTGCGTGTGGGACTCAGCGCTCAGAGCGGCGCAGCGAGGCCGCGTAGGCCCAGAGGAGCGCCCCACACCTGGGCGCGGGACGGGGGCACTCTGGGGGCCCACAGGCTCGGCGCGGTGCCGCAGCGAGGGGGGCGAGGGCGGAGGACTGGGCCCTGCCCCGGCCGCGGTCACAGGGCCCGTGCCTGGCGGGGAGGGGCGCCGCCGTCCCCTGCCGTTCGCCTTGTGTCGCTCGGGGCGTCTGACCCCCAGGACCCGGATTTGAGCGCAGAGCGTGGATTTCCTTGGATTCCCGCGGGCCTGTGGCCAGCGGCCGCCGTTTCTAACACTCGGGAGCGTGAACCCGGGGCCACGGCGCTCCAGGCTTCCAGGGCGCGGCCTCCCCGCGGTCTGCGGCCCCCCGCGGCGCTGCCTCGGCTTCCCGCACCGCAGAGCCCTGGGGGCGACGGGCCCGGGCGTCTTAGGCGGAAAACGCAGGAATCAAAATTCATGGTGACGTGGTGACGCGCGATACTGGAGGGTCATGGTGAGGGGACGTGCGACTCTGTTGCCCTTCGGAACCGTGGCGGCAGCGCGGGGGCCCTGGCGTCAGCCGCCGCTCCCGCCGCTGTGGGTGCGCGCAGGGCACGTGGGCGCTCGGCCCTGCTGTCGGGGGAACGGCCGCGGCACGCGGGCGCCTGGCAGGCGCGAAGCAGCGTGGGGCCTGCCGGTCCGCGGCCGGGCGGGCGGCTCTGGAGCCCCCAGGCGCGTCCTGCGGGCCGTGGCCACGCGCTCCGGGCGCCGCGGGCCCCGCCTCCGCTGGGCCTGGCCTCCCCGCACCCCCAGTGGCGCCGCCCGGCCGAGGCGAGGCTGACGAGGCGCCGTGGGCGTGCGGCCGTGCGTGGGGTCACGCCAGGGCAGGACCGGGCGCCGGCGGCCCCACGGCGGCGGCCCCACGGCGGCGGCCCGGCCCACACGCCCGGCGAGGCCCACAGGGCGCTGCCGCGAGGCGCTCACAGAAGCAAGAGGCAAGTGCTGGAAGGAAACCCACGGTCCTGCTGCAGGCGCGGCCGCGGCCCCGGGCGGGTGGGCTGCACGGAGGAGGCCGAGCCAGCCTCTGGGTGTGGGGGGGCGCGGCTGGGCGGGCGCCGGGCCTGGGCAGGGGCAGGGGCCGGGGCAGGGGCAGGGCCTCCTCCTCCTCCGTCGCCGCCGCCTCCATCCTCGGCCTCTTCCTCGGCCTCCGTCCTCCATCCGCCTCCGCCTCCTCCTCCTCGGCCTCCTCCATCCGCCTCCATCCTCCCCGCCGCCGCCCCGCGCTCAGCCCTCCTCCTCGTCACTGTCTTTCATGGTGATGCCCTGGAGGCCGCCTCCGTCCGACACCGAGGCCGCGGCCTCCTCCACCGTGAGGCGCCGGTGCAGCGTCTCGTAGGCCTTGCCGTGCAGCGTGCCCTCCAGCACGCCCTGCAGCCGGAAGTCCCGGTAGCTTTTCTGCGGGACAGAGAGAAGCCGCTTAGGCCTCGGCGGCCTCTCCCGCCGCCCACCACCCCACCCCCACCCCACCCGCTGCCCAGGCCCGCGCCCCCCGCCTCACGCGGCAGCCGCCCAGCGCGGGGCCCCTCGGGCCTCCAGGCCCTCAGCGCGGGGGCGGCAGCGGGAGCCGGCGGCCCTGAGGCGCACCTGAGGCGGCACCTGACGTGACACCCGAGGTACCTGAGGCGGCACCTGAGGCAGCACCTGAGGAGGCACCTGAGGCGGCACCTGAGGAGGCACCTGACGTGACACCCGAGGCACCTGAGGCGCACCTGAGGAGGCATCTGAGGCAGCACCTGAGGAGGCACCTGAGGTGACACCTGAGGTACCTGAGGCGCACCTGAGGCGGCACCTGAGGCAGCACCTGAGGAGGCACCTGAGGCAGCACCTGAGGAGGCACCCGAGGAGGCCCCTCGGCCTCCTCACCATGTCTGTGGCCAAGCACGACTGCCCCTCGCTCCGCACTCTGAGGTGAAGGCAGCCCGCGGGGCAGGCCCCGGGCGGTCCCTGACGCTGCCCACCTCCCCGCACCCGTTTGCTGTCCTGCGTTCGCTCCAGAGCGGGGGCGCTGGGGCGTCGGGGCCGGGCCCTGGGCCGCGTTTCCGTCCAGGTGACGTCTAGTGGGCACGCGCTCCGCGGGCGGCTCTACGCTCAGCAGGTGAGAAAAGCCAAAGAAGAAGGCGGGCTGCTCCTCCTGGCCCAACGGGACGACTCGGGACGGCTCGCGGCTGAAAATCAGCCCCGGCCAGGCCTGCTGTCCCGACAGGACCAGGAGGAGCCCCCGCTCTCCTCGCAGCCCAAGCGAAGGCGCTTCCTCCGGGCGGCCGGACGCCTGAGAACGGCCCCTGGCGGGCTGGCGGGCTCGGGAGGGTGGACGAGGGCGAAACCGGGAAGGCTGAGGGAGCTCGGCCATTTTCACCTTTGCCCCCCCCCCTCCTAATCTGCCTCGGCCCGGGGCACCCCGCATTTCAGAGGGGACACCCCGAAGCATGGATGGGCGGTGAACACTCTTCTTGCCATGTGGGGGATCCCCTGTTATAGATCCGACTCGTCTCCGAATCTGCCCCGGATCCGTGGCCGGTACCGTGGAGTCTGGGCCGGCAGTGTCTGAACAGCACATAAGAACCTGATTCGGAGAGTGTCCCCTTTTTCCTCAAATGATCAAGGCTCCTACTGCCTCGCACGTTGAGATTCCGAGCCACCTGCACCCCACCGGCTCCCCGCGCCCTGGCACCTCCTGCACCGCAACCCGGGGGCATCTGCACCCAAACCCACAGGAGAGGCTGAGCCGTGCTCCGCGCCGTCTGGTAGCTGACGCACGTGGTCTTTGGCCGCGGATTTGCGTGCGAGCCTCTACCTGTTTCTAGTTCGATTAAAAACACCTCAAGCACACAAAATACGCCCGCAGACGGCGCGCCGGCCCGGAGTCAGCGCTGCCCCGCAGCCCCCCGCCGGCGCGGCCTCCGCCCTCACGAGGACCGGCCTCCCCTGCGCTCCAAGCCGCCGGGAGGTCGCTCAGGACGCCCGAGCTGTGGGTGCGCAGCCCCGAAGCCCTCTCTGCCCCGGGAGCTAGGACTCCCCTTCCTCGTTCTACCTGCAGGCAACACGCAGAGGAGGGGCGGGACGGGCATCCCTGCCCGCTGGGCCTCCCCTCTAGGATTCCCACGGGCGCCACCGCCCGACATCCTCTGTGGCTGCCCACGGAGGTCTGCTCAGCTCCTAAGGCGGGGCCTGCCTCAGGGTGCCGCTCACTTGTCTCCTTTGTCTTAGCAAGAGAGGCCGCGGGTTCATGTGACCTGCTTTTACACGTCCTGGGCCGCTGGGAGGATGCAAACCCATCAGGCGCTTTGATCTTCTGAGGATTCTATTTTTCTCCCTTCCACAATACATCATTCTGATGTTAAAACTTTGCAAATAATTTCCTAGTCCCAAACTATGAAACTCTCAGTGGAGTTTGTTTTTTCTTAGTGAGCAACGTGAAATGAACCCACTGGTACCTAACTGTCTTCGTGGGGCAAAGGCCGCCATCCCATACACCCCGGCGGGATCTGGGGCCCCGGTGGGCTCGGGGGACGACGATGCGTGCAGGCAGTGAGGGCCACGTTGCCAGAGGAGAGCAGCCAGGCTCCTGGGCAGCAGGCGCTGCTCCGCGGTGACCTCCGACTCGCCCTAGGTGGTGGCGATGGAAGGAAGGCCCACTCACCGACCTTCACAACTGTGTGCACGTGCCATTAATAGCTTCTTAAGTTCACTGAAAAGTGAACGTTGTAAAATACCACTATTCTGAAGTTCTGAAGAATTATGAATCTACGTATGAAATTGGCTAAAGTCTGTTTATATTCAGAGTAGGAAAAGAAACAATTAAACATTAAATTATTAATTCTTTCTGATTTCCACTGTAAAAATAATGACTTTTAATTATTAAATAAAAGCTCTACAATTTGATTAACTGTATGAGCCAAAGCAAGCATTGGCTGAGTGTGGGGACCTGCCTGCGAGAAACAAAGCATGGGGAGTCAAACCTACTCATGACATTTGTTTTCATATTTTAACCAGTCTGGACTACTAGTGGCCCATAACGAAGACTGTGTTAAAATAAGATCAAGTGACTGCCTTCGAGTACAACGGAAATGTCACTGTATAATTCATGACATTATCATTTTACTCTGCTGAAGTATTCACTGTGCTTGATCTATAATTGCAATGACGTGAATATGAGAAGGGGAGTAACTCTGAAAGGAACAAATGGTGGGCTAATAAACGATGGAGACTTTATTCTAAAAACAGAGAGCTTAACAACTATCAGCGAATACCGACCAGCTGAAGAGGTCCTCTCTGGCACCTTGAAGGCAAGATATGAACCTGAAAATACGGCTGATCGTAAGGGCAGGCAGCCAATCCCAGTGCACGCACTGCACCCATAACATACACGGGAATTTAGAGGGTACGCAGACAATCGGATTGTCTTTTATGAAAAACAAAATGCATTTGGAAGCTCTCCGAGTCCCATTTATAGAAACAAGGAAGAGACATTGCAGAAACGAAGGGAAACACGAATGTATCTCAGTGTGCTTTCGGTTTCTTTGTAAATTAAAGAGCACCTGGTGAGAAGTGCTCCGGACCAATGGTGTTTTGTCCATTGAAATGGAATATGTTTATTAGTATTAAAAATTAGCGGGTGGCTATAATTTTACTTGCCGTTTATGACTAACTGTGATTGCTATTGCTGTGAGATCATAGCTCCGGCTCTATGTTCCAGGAGATTCGCCAATTTCTCAGTTTAGAACGGAACTTTCCTATTTACGGTTCTAATGTGTGATAGCCTGTGTGGCTATGGCACAAAAGAACATGTATTCTAATTAGACTGCAGGAACCTAGAGCACGGTGGGAAATATTTTAGTGTGGATAAAACTTTTTTCTTTTGGTAATGTGGAAAAAAACAACGTAACGCAACAGGTCGTCTCTAACTTTATCATCAGAATCACGTGGCGGGCTTGTTAATCTACAGATTGCTGGGCCCCACTAGGGTTTCTGATTCGGAAGGTCTGGGGTGGGACATGATAATTTGCATGCTGGTGGTGATAGGTCAGGGATGACACCGAGAAGCACTGAGTATACGTGTGTGTGTCATACGTGCACATACGTATCTAAACATATGTGCCGATACACAATACAATACACATATATGGACACATACATATATATAAATGGCATTATGTATCCCATTTGGTTAATGGCACTAAAATGGAAGTGACGGTCGTCTTTTTTAAAAAAATAGCTGAATCTCAATAGCTTAGAGTTTTGTTTTTAGGCAGAAGGTAGGATCTGTCTCAATTTTGAGACATAGCTATACTCAGGGCAAATTTTGTGCTTCCACTAGAATTTACATAGTGTGAAAAACCATGTTAAGTATAATACGATTTTAAAGCCCCTACTCGCTAAATATAATATGTATGTTGTCAGCCTTTTCTTTTGAAGAGCAAAAGTTAAAACGGCCTCGCTTAAGGGATGTGACACCTGTTGGTAGCTGGCATGGTCCCCAACACTCAAACTGATCGTTTCTGACTTACAGAGAAGATGGGGCGTGCTTCCAAAGGAAGCCAGGCAGTGACGACGTTACTTTCATGTCAGGATAGAACAAAAGAATGGAAACTCTCCTTATGCTGTGGGCAAATACAATTCAAAAGCCCTCAAGATGATAGGTGATCCTAATAAATATGAAGGGACTGTATTAGGAGAAAACATTTCTATAATCAAGAACATTAGTACCAAATTACTGTGGCCTTACTACAATCGGGTAAATGTGCTCAAGGCTTTATGGACATTACCTTAAAATGCGATTACTCGATAAAATATTTTTATTAGTGCAGAAAAATTAAGATACACTTAATAACCTAACTGAAAGTGTAAGTGAACAGCAGCCTATGGTTTGCCGAGGGTGATGATTTTTTTTTTTTTTAATTTTTTAAAATTTATTTATGAAAGGCACACAGTGAGAGAGAGAGAGGCAGAGACACAGGCAGAGGGAGAAGCAGGCTCCATGCACCGGGAGCCCGATATGGGATTTGATCCCGGGTCTCCAGGATCGCGCCCTGGGCCAAAGGCAGGCGCCAAATCGCTGCGCCACCCAGGGATCCCGAGGGTGATGATTTTAAAGTACTTACATCCATTCAGTTGCATCAAATACAATTTCCTTGTATGTCAATATCTAGCCATTATTCTTCGTAGCTTGGTGGCAATTCACATCTAAACACATTTTGTTTACCTTCACAATCTTGATGAGCGTCTTCAGTTGGTAAATATGAAGCTGAAGGTCTAATCTATCAGCCAACCAGACACAAATGACTTTCATGGAACTGCTGTACCATTGCTGGAAAGAAGGATGGGGGCAGAGGGGAGGAGAACAAAACAGAAAACAGCCTCTGCAGTATTCATGTAACAGATTCGGTAATGAGGGGGTAATGACACACTCTGGAATGACCACAGATCAGCACTTGAAGTCAATAATGCTATAATTTCCTGTTAACAGAATTGCATGTTTTGCTAGAAAATCTGCTAAGTTGACCTAGGCTGTTCTCTACATGAATTAACATGAGTCTTTCAGCTGTAACATATTCATGGGAAACCGTGTTTCTGCACTTGCAGCCTAGCGGCCTGCTTTGTAATCTCTAGGTAACAATGGGCGCTAAATACACGTTATGGGACTGAAGGGGCTCCCCCACAGCAGGAAGAAGCAGGTGAATTATTTTCAAAGGGAAATTTCTCATTAGCCTCTGTGTTATGTAAAAACCAGAGAGTAGACGCGTTATGCCCTGACGCACGCTGTCAGTACCTAGAAATGACATTTTACGGCAGCGATGGTAAAGCCTTGCCAGGGCTTACGAGCCAGGGATCCCCAATCACGCCCTCATCTACTATCTGTTAAGTATCTGCCAAGCTGTTTTAAAACCACCTAAGATAAAGATTTGAGACCTTAGGAAGGAATGTTGTCAGGATGGAATTGCTGTGTCTGCAAGAATCAGAAAGAAGAGGTCAGTTGACTAAGTCACGAAAGGAAAGGATTTGTTTCAGTTTGCTAGTGTTTTCGGAAGGTTCGTATTTTTTCCTCTCCATGACCACTCTCTTGAGGGGAAAACCAAAATTATTCTGTAATGTAATTTCCCGCTCCTAAATAACGTCAATCGGTATAGTAAAAGCAGACGTTTTGCTTTTGTTTCATTTTAAAGGCAATCTGCTACTCATGGTGACAGAGCTAGGTTCAGGTAATACTGTAAAAATAATAATGCTAGTCATTCAGATGACCGTGAGAAATAGCAAAGTCCATCCAGCACTAAGGAAATGACGAGAGTTTTTGAAAGAGAAGGGACAGACACAGGGTACGGACGTAGGGTGACCCCACAGATCATGTATGTGTGGTGCATGTGTGCTTAGGTATTCAAATAGAGAAAAAAGACCTTAAAAAATACTTTTTTTTCCATGACAAAATAGTAAATTCAATTTCCAAGAGAAATCTTATGTGATGCGAGTAAGTCTGAAATTCATCTGGCCTTGTATTTATTATTAACATTGTTCTGATAAAATTTCGTGTAAGAAATGGTATTTTAAGCATGAATTAAACCT